TGTCTATCACATTAGGACCTTAAAAACACAATTGCCATGAATCACTTTTGAAGTGTCTGCTTCAAGCCCCCAAGTCACTGATACATTTGAAATATTTCTCCTGCATCTGTTTGAATACAGGACCAGCGAAAGTTCAAGAATCATAACGGCTTGTAGTCCATGACGAATTACCTTACATGAGTAATGGACTGTTGCAGAAATTGAGATTTTGCTTGTGATAACAGGACAAGCACCTATCAGTTACTCTGCCCCATGATTATAGACATTTTAATGAGCACTCTGCAACATACAAAGCATAAAGACCTTAGCACACGCAATCCAAAGCACATTGTTAGCATTCAAAAATAATGCACTGCTGACTTGATTTTTTTGGAGTGGTATATATCCTCAGTGATTTTTGATTCTGAAAGCCAGAGTACATTTTGCAGTGCCTAAGTAAGGAGACAGGTAGCTAGTTATGGACATGCAGCCCTAAGAAGAAAAAAGTTCCAAAGCATAGGTATAAAAATATACCTTCAAATACACTTCAAAACCACAGAATTGTGCCATTAAATTGCAGAATCTGTTGGTAGTACCTTGTAAAATGTTTCAGTAAAGCAGCCAGAGCTATCATGTCTTACCAATAATTTCCTAGTATATTTTAAGATTTCACTTACTAGGTCACTTCATTAAAAAATAATAATAATAAAATAAAAAGTTAAAGTTTACTCCAGCTAGAAGCATGAATTTGCATATCTGTTTCCAGAGAAGTCTGGTCTCAGTGCAATTCTAAAATAATTTTGATTATAAAAGCAGAGTTAAATACACTAGCTAAGAGACCAACTGTTTCTTCTGGGTCTGCAGCGGGTGATATGCTTTGAACTTTGTAGCTCCTGAATTTAATTTAATCTAATTTTTTTTTTTTTTTGATAGACATTATAAGGGAGTTTTCCCAAAGTGGGTAGTTTTAAAGGTGCAAAAGCTGAAGCAATCCCCAAACAAAAACACAACATAAACTCAACACTGACATTTTCTACAGTTCTTTCCTCAAACCTCACTGCCAAATTCATAACTTCCTACACATATTTTTTCCTTGATAAGAGATTCACAGAGATCAGCAATCTGTGAGAGAGGCTCACTGAAATACTTCTTAAGGGAGAAAGGATTGCCTCAAGTAAACAGCTTTCTACTGAGAGGAAAAATCTTGGGATTTCCAGAAGAAGTATATTCCCTTTGTAGCATGAACAGAAATGACTGCTTCTGCACACTATTCACAATAATCTAATAATTAGAGCAAAATGAAAACCTCAAAGAAGAGCAGACAAGATTTAAAACCCTCTGTAGTTAAATGACAGAGCTTAGAACAGTGACAGTGGGAGGTCCTGCATAAAAAAAAAAAATAATAAAATACTCTCCAGCAGAGAAGAGTTATCACTCTTGACTTGTGCATGTGAAATGCAAGGGATGTTTAGATGTAGAGCTTAGGGATATGGTTTAGTGGGGACTGTTAGTGTTAGGTCAGAGGTTGGACTCAATGATCTTGAGGTCTCTTCCAACCTAGAAATTCTGTGATTCTGTGATTCTGTGGTCTTGTCCAGAAAAACATGGAAAAGATTAGCTATGGTTTGAACACACTTATTAGAACAACTCTCTGTGCTTGGTAGAGTGACACCTATTTCATTAACATTGGCAGGTTTTAGGTTCACTAGCAAAAAGTAACTTGGCACCAGAAGATGGCTTTATATCACAGCTTTGTGCCACAGCACTATTTTAAGCACTCTGGGGACCTCACCTGCAGAAGCATTGGAACTGACAGACTTAAGACATCAACAGCAACTAGGTCAAGGCAATTGTGAACATTCTTGCTTGCCAAAAGGTTGAACTGGCAACTAAAAAGGCTTTGAAGTGCCAAATTTCACTTGCTAAGTCCCTTTCTGATCTCTTGACTCCAGTCATCTGGACTGTGCTGACTTTCATGCTATTTTTGCTGAAAAGATTAAGTGTATTCATTTGGCTGCACATGTTGCAAGAGCACTAAAAGACTGCTCAAGTACATGCTCGCCATGGGCCTGATCAAAGCCCTCTGAGATCAATGGGAATATTTCCTTTGACTTCAATGGACTTTTGATAGGATTCCAAATTACCCAGTGGAAAGTTAGCCTCCCAAGAACAGTCCTGATGTGAGCATACCCATGGGCACTGAGTACTAAAAATGTGACTCATCACCTGGGTGATACTTTGCATCTCACACTAGATCAGATACAAGTGCAGCATCTCATTCTGATATTTCATAAAATACCACAGTGGTGATAGAGGAAACATATTTTGATTGACAGGTTCAATACTGGCTGGTACTTGAAACAGCTTGTGGCTATGTCAGAATCTGGCAGGAAGCCAGACCTCATTCACAATAATGGGGCATCATACAAATATCAACAGGGCTGTATACAAACCAGCTGTTATTATTAATTTCATGTCTTTTAAGAGGAAGAGAGGGTTTTAGCAATTCGAAAGGATTTTTTTTTTTTTTTTAATGGATAATTATACTGTTTGGTGATATTTAATTTGTGTTTATCTAGTACTCCCATATGAATTGGATTTAGAAGTACAATTGCTGTCTAATTTCACTGATTCACCTGAAATCTCTTCTGGATTTTTGTTACAGAAGGAGATTTTTGGAAGAAAATTTAAGACAACCAAATGGTGGAAATTAGAAATATAAGTTGGGAGTTTTAGACAACTATGTTTTGATGCAAGAAGCTGCAGACTGTTTATAGAATCATTTATAGGAACACAACAACTACAACAAAACAATGATTTATTTATTTATTTATTTATTTTTATTTGCAGTCATTGTGAAAAAGGCTTAACAATTGGAGATTAGAAGTGAGCAAACAATTCACAGTGAATCATTTCTGTTCAACAGAAGTTTCCAGTGTCTTCATTCCATTTTGCCTTAAGAGCTAGCTTGAGAGTAGACATGTTACTCTTTTCTGTTATACAGCTTACTTCTTTTTTATTAGAGAGAAATTCCAGTAAATAGAGATTTAAAGTTCAGCTAAATCTTTTAACCTGCAACAGCCACAAGTTTTCTGGATGCTTTATGGAAAAGGCCTAGTATCTATCCTAGAATGCTTCAGTAAAAGGATTGAATAGAAATATAAATGGCAGTGGAAGAACAAAGAAAATAATAAATTCTAGGATTATGGGGATTAATAAGGTAAAAGGGACAGACCTGTAGTAAGCTTTACAGCTAATACAAAGATTCATATCTCCTTTAAGTGACTTACACATGACATTTACATGTGGAACAAATTGCTTAATCTTTGATATTGGTGGTATACTTTTATTGATATACCAGTGTTCATATGTACATACATACATGTAGATGAATACAAATTACTTTGTATATGAAACATATAAACTGCACATATAAATGTTAGAGTTGTAAATTGTTTTCTTAGTCCTGATATGGAGGAGTTGTATTGACTGACTGTCAGAAGAAAACTACACCGGGTAGATATGTACAGGATTTTTTTAAATTCTTATTTTATTTTATTTTTATTTTATTTTATTTTATTTTATTTTATTTTATTTTATTTTATTTTATTTTATTTTATTTTATTATTTATTTTATTTTTATTTTTAATGTGGTGAATGTCCAGAAAAAAATTTGGCCATGATATAGAAGTTGTAGGAGAAGGGGAGGGAGAGTATCAATGGAGACTTCTGGTGCTCAATGACAGAGGGTGGAAGCATGAAGTGTTAAACTTTTGACACTTTAGAAAGTTTAGACAGTTTAGGTTATGAGCCATTCAGGTTTTGAGAGATTAGTGAGCTAAGATGAGATATATGACTTTGAAAGGGTATAAGTCTTTTCAAAAGATTTGGTTAAAATACTAAATACTGACACTCTTGGAAATGCCTTCAAGCAGATACAGCTCCCAGGAAGTAGAGGATGTCTGGTATGAACAGTACGTTCAGGGACTCCGGCTCCCAAAGTGAGGAAGTAGGAAGAATTTACAGCTGAAATTTAAAAAAATAAATAAATAAAATAATTAAAAAAAAAAAAAAAAGGTGTGTGCGGGGGAAAGGTCACATACATACTGTGAAAACAGGTCCTTCAAATGAATTGGTTATTTTAGTCATTGTCTAGACAAATAATCTGCTCAATTCTTGTCCTTGACAGATTTGAGTACTATCTTTAAGTCCTAATCTTGTTATCTCACTCCCTATCTTTCTGGTTTTGCTTGCTGTTTTATCTTCAGATTTCAAATCACAAAGTCAAACCTTGGGCTTCTGGGAAAAAAAAAAAAAAAAAAAAAAAGAAAAAAAAAGAGCTCTGCAGATATACATATGAAAATGTATGTGTCTCTGAATTAAAGCTGCAGATTTCTTTTCAGGTCTACCTTAGCAAAAATCCAGCCTATGTATGAGATACATTTATGCCTTCTGTACTTGTAAGTGTTTGCTAGCCTCACTGAATGTGCAGCTGGTAGTGATGTAGAGTTTATCCTACTGAGTGAAAATGAGGGAGGACATAGTTGCTGTTTCATTCAGCTAAAATTCAGAAATGCTGCCTCATACATTTTATTCTTCTGGTATTCTTTCTCATTCAGTCAAATTTCTCAAAGGTGCTTTTTCATAATACTAATGCTTAATAAATCCAGCACCTAGTTGTACTGTGTCTGGCTGGGATGTTAATTTTCCCTGCAGCAGCCCATACAGTGCTGTACTCTGCACTTTTAGTTGGAACAGCAGTGTTATCACACCAGAGTTGTGCCTACTGCTGAGCAGTGCTGGCACAGCATTGGGACTCTCTCTCTTTTGCCCACCCTCCTAGGGGGTGGGCAAAAAGTGAGAAGAGAAACATCACCAGGGCAGCTGACCTAAACCAATCAAAGGGATATTCCATACCATGTGATGTCACTCTCAGGAATAAAAGGTGGAAACAGGAAGAAGAGGGGAGGGGTGGGCTCTCATTGTGAAAACGTCGGTCCTCCTGCCGAACACTGGCTACATGCGTTGAGGCCCTGCTTCAAGGATGTTGTCAATCATCGCTCATTTGTGGGAAGTAGAGAGTAAGGAAGTAGAGAGTAATTTCTTTTCTCTGCACTTCCACATAGCCTTCATTTGTTTTATTTGTTTGTTTTCCTCCTTTCTTTCTTTTTCCCCTTTCCCCCTCCCTCTTCCCCTTTCCCTTTTTATTTCCCTTTAGTTAAATTGTTTAGTTCATAATAATCTTTCTTTAATTATTATTATTATTTCCCTTTAATTAAATTATCCTTGTCTCAACCCATGAGTTGTTCTTTGCTTTACTCCTCACCTGAAGAGGGGGAGTGAGAGAGCGGTTGTGGTGTTTAGCTGCCGAGCACGGTAAAACCACCACACTGGTTTTACATGTCTAAATCTCTATCTGACAAAGGTTAGTTTCTCTGCATCTTTAGGTGTATGAACAAGGTGGACATGATTAGGAAAATGTAAATCTAAGGACCAGCAATTTTGGATAGAAAATAATAATTACCCATGCTCAGTTATGATGAGTTGAGTAATTAAGAAAGTGAAAAAAATAATGTGAAGAATATCTTTTGCTTTCATACACCATTAAATAAACTAGAATATCACTTTAAAAATAAATAAATATTAATACATCTTATACAGCAACTACCTCTAGAATTATTACCTTCTAAAATTACACCAATTCTTCTTTAAATCTTTTGGATCTTGAACGTCTCTAAGTTGTATTTTGTTAAAACATCTTATTTTATTTTATTTTTTAATATTATTTTTAAATTATATGTTATATTAAAATATTTTATTTTTTATTTTATTTTACTTTAATATTTATTATACTTATAGAAGGAGATATTGTTTTTCCTTAAAGCATATAGAATGCAAATCAATTGTTGATATACATCAATCTTTCTGTATGGTATCAATGCCTGCAGTATCTTGTATTTATCAATTGGGATTGCTGTACAGTATAAATAAATTCCAGCGCTTCCTTTCTGATAGTGTCTTTCTTTTTTATTTCCTTTTATTTCCTTTTATTTCCTTTTATTTCCTTTCCTTTTTTCAGTGTTACGGTATCTCTTCTGTCTGTGATGTACCAAGTTTCAGCATTCCTCTATGTTTCTGATACTATTTTATCTACATGTAGTCCTGTCTTTTTGCTCAGCATCTCCTTGAAAAAAACAATTATTTTCTCAAACCAGCACTTCAACAACTGCTGGGCATGTTTTATGTGTGTGTGCTTTGTGCTTTGTTGTTGTTGTTTCTTTGTATTTTGTTTGTTTGCTTGTTTTCCCATGCATTTATATATTTTCTTGAAGTCACAGGAAAAAAAAAATAAAAAAAAACTCATCTGTTGGACTTTTTATACCATATGGATAGGATAAAATCTGATATCATATGATTCTCTTCTTTTCTACAGCTACTGATGCTCCTGAGACTCTTTGTCTGCTTATGTGATTTAAGGAGAAGGAAGAAAGGAAGAAAATGTATCTATTTATTTGCATGAAGAAGAAAACAATGTTTTATTTCTGCTGCCTTGTTCACCAGCTTTCTCTTATACTGCATATGCATTTTTTATTTCTGTGCTTTTAGATCTCTATTATTTATACTTATTAAAAATCATCTTGTGGCTTAGAGTCATTTGTAATAAAGACTCTGTATCGCTGTCATTTTGGAGAAGTACTATGCTTTTCCCGCTGTTTTCTCAAATGTTGTGTATCTATATTGTGAGGTAGTCCATCTCCGTATCAATAGCAGATTTTTTTTCTTGAATCTTTTTCTTTTATACACTTTTCTTTCAGAGAACACTTGCAAATTATTCAAGTCTATTTCTTTGGACTGAATTTGTTACTATTCAAATCCTCTCGTTATTACCGATTCTTTAGTTCATCTCAGATCTTAAGGCTTTTTATTCAGTATCCCAAATGTGCAAGAAATTATAAATCATTTTTTATTTCTATGACTATATTGCTCAAGTTACATGTTCTTTTCAACTCTCTTGGTCTTGCAACATAGTTATCTTCATTTAATTCTATGTTTTACTTTCTATTTCTCTTTTTTTTTTTTTTTTTTCACGAACAGCATTCATTCTGAAACAAACATTCACTCAATGCCTGTATTTGCTTGTCATATGACTGCATCATTTAACGAAACACTTGTATAGAGATATACAAGTGGAACCCTTCATAGTGGGACAATTTGATGACGCTATTGGCTTATCCATACTGATTGTAGACAATTCCATTTGAACTTGATCTGTTTCATTCACTAAAAAAAAAAAAAAAAAGTCAATTTAAATGAAGAGATCAGTTCTTTTTAGTTCTTTGCCTTTTCTATGTCTGCATCAAGATACATGGATATTTTCAGCTGTGAGTTTTTTACTTTTATTTTTTTTAACTTTGAACTTTTCTACAGCACTACAGTAGAATAGGGAGGTTTATGTATTGATAATTTTATAAAAAATTGTTGAAATAATTTTCATGTCAGCTTTAAGTTTTCAGATCAGAATCACTCTAAAAAAAAAAAGTTTGAGAAATGTTGTACAGTTTTTGAAAAGTACTGTTTTCAAAAACATATCTGCAGGACCAAAATAAAGTTGTTTGGTTTTTTTTTTTGGTAGTTTTATCATTGAAATTTCATGTTTCAATTCATATTACTTGTCCCGTTTCTTTCTCCCTTCAACCTTTCTCATTTCTTTTAATTTCACTTTATTTTTCTTGTTTTATTTCTGAGGGAAACAGACAATATATATATATGTCATATGCTTCCATGTATCTCCTTCCATTGCATAAAAAAATGACTTGATTAAGGTCAGTTCTGTTTTGTGTGAACCAGTGACTGACAGCTCCTTGCAAGCTCCTGGTCTCAGGCTTTTGGATAAAGTAGTAATGTTGCATGACTGGAAGCTACAACTGGCAGAGATTATTAGGTCTATGCTAGCAATCTCATAGCTAGATGGTATGTTTTAGGTCATTGTTCTATACAGTTGCATGGTATTACTTGGAAGTACTTCCTCTAAATCAACATTTTGAGAGTCCTATCTCAGGACTACATAAATTAAATCAGCAGATCTCAATGCAACAGCTTATAAGGGCAGAAAAAAGGTAAGGATTTGTGACCCTAAAAAAAAAAAATGGGGAAGAGAGACAGATGGCCAACAGGAAGATACAAAGTCTGCTTTGCTTAAGGCTAAGAAGTGATCCAGAGTCACTCCTTTCCTTGCCTTTCCTTTCCTTAATGCATCATCAAGCATTCAAGAAGCATATGGTGGTAAGAGTATGGAGACAAGACAGTTCTAACAGAACACTGGAACATGCTGACGAGGGGGGTTGTGCAGCCTTCTTCTCTGGAGACATTCAAAACCCACCTGGATGTATGCCTGTGTGATATGACCTAGGTGTTCCTGCTCTGGCAGGAGGATTGGACTAGATGATCTTTCAAGGTCCCTTCCAATCCCTAACATTTTGTGATTCTGTATGATTCTGTGTAATTAGTCCAACAACATATGGGATTGCTTCTTTTCTAGAATCTCAACCTGATGGACAGACCTGTGGGTTTCCTTCTGGACCTTTGGAAGTGCTTAATGATTATCAACTTACCTTCTTGCCCAGATTTTGACTTTACAGAAATAAAAGGTAAGTATGGGGAACCTGAGTCTTAAGTTTTCACTATGGAACTATATGTGGCTAGAATGTACTCAAGAACAAAGTAATTAGAAGCATTCCTAATTCTGGTAATCTAGACATGGTCAGAGACTATCAGCTGTCTCTGGAATATTACTCTCCTTCATTTTCATTCTTTAAAACTAAATCTCTTTACTTCCAGCCACCAGACAGGACAAAGCACTGCAATTCTGATGGCATAATGGGTGTGGGCTGTATTCTCACCAGTCATTTTCTTCCATCCATAACACCTCCACCTTTAATATCACTTCTGACAAGAAAATATCTTTTACATCTTGATTGTCTTTATCTTTGCTTTTTGTTGTTGTTGTTGTTTTGTTATTTTGTTTTAAATTCAACAAATCAAAATCCCACACCAACTGTACATCCTAGTTAAGATGGTTTTATTCCTGGGAAGGTAAGAAAGAGAAAGCTACTAGAAAGCATATCTTCAATTTATGGCAGACAGCAGTAGCAACAAGTAGAGCCAGTAAGATGTGGAATCAGGACCTTCCAAATCTCATATGTCCCTTGGAAACCACATAGACACAGAAGGCTGATTCATTTGAGTGTTACTAAAACCAGTGGTGCAGCCGGTTGTTAACTTGGAAAATCTGTCTACTCCTCCTCCTATCCTCCCCTTTCACTGTTAGGGTTGAGGAGAAAATGACGTAGGCTCCCATACCCTTGATGACCATCCCCCAAGGGCTCTTAAATACTGTTTGATGGTTTCTAATTTCCCCTTTGTATCATTAGTGCCCACATGGATGAGCAGCAGAGGGTAATAGTCTGATGCATAGACAATTCTTGGCAGCATTTCCATGACATCTTGTATTTGAGCCCCTGGCAGGAAGCAAACTTCTCTAGACAAGAGGTCAGGTTGGCAGACATTCATAAAACATAGGTGAAATTGTTTTCTTTTGTTTGTTCTGTTACCAAATTAGGAATCCCAGTTTTTCTTGAAAAAAATGTTTTCATCTCCAAGCCCAAAGCTTTGCAGTCTTCTAAAACTGTCCATGTGTTGAGGGACTTTTGAAACAGCAAAGATCCTGTGGCTTGCTGCAACTAAACAAACCAAGCTACCAAGACAACTATGAGAAGTTCCCATGACAGTGTTCCCACATCGCCCAACTGAGGAATTTAGAAAAATATTGTTACCAGCAGCTGGCTTCAAGGACAAGGTCTACGTGACTGCTAATCACAAGGGGGTTGTTTTCTTGCAGGTGTTTTTTTTTTCTTGTAGTTGTTTTTCGTAGTGCTTTTGACCAATAATCTCGTGTGAGATACTATCTGCCCCTGTTAAATTCGGATAATAATATGGAGCATGATCTGACCATACTAGTGTCTGTCGTGCTTTCAGCCGTTCTTCCTGCAACATCTATGTATGCAACTTCTCTGTATTGAGAGAGCTGATGTCTGGCAAGAGCAGAAGTAACAGTGTTATGTAGGTGACACAGCATTATATAAATCCTAAATTTCAGTGCTTCTCAGAAATCACAGCACTTACCTGAAATCAATACTTGGCTAAAGAGAAATTAAAAGGCAGTACTTAAAAAAAAAAAAAAAAAGTGTCCTTAGGAGAAAAGAAAGGCTGAATAATTTGTCCTCTATCAGTCTGTGCACGATGAAATTGACTTGCAGCTTTTAGATACTTGTCTATTGCTTAGTATTTAGATCTGGCTCCTGTTGTGTCTGCATTAATAAACTTTTTAATGGTATTAACTGGAAGGGAATAATCCCAATGACATTAGCCATTTCTAATTTAGGTGTGTACCTAATCTAATTTTCAAGGCTCTTTGTACAGCGAGCAGAGCCAGTCACCTCCAGAGTACAACTGATGATATTCACAGCCTGCTCAACAGAGTAAGCAAGATTGTGTATCTGAATTGTCTATTCCACTGAATTCTCTCTTCCTTTCATTCAAAAATCTGTTTGATTTGTTAAAAATAGTGTGCTCATCAGCATAGAGGCTAAGTACCTAAGTAATCACATCAAGTAATTACTTTTTTTTTTTCTCCTTCCATTATGCACAACACTTCTGTTTCATCCATCCACAGAATCTAGTTGCCTTCTTCAGTGTGTTTGGTTATTCATGATCGTCATTATCTAGCTGTGTCTTCCATATGTCTTCTTCATTAGCAAACATCACTGTTTGTGCATCTGTGGCTCAGATGGTGGCTGTCCTGGTGCTTATGCAACACCAGATACATTACTCCTCCTTATAACTAGGTGAGCAGTATTTGGTGGCAGCTCATCTTCAATTATGATGGACAGAAGTGAAGTGTTCTTGGACACAACTATTATAGCCTTGTAAGGTGGAGGAGAAAACAAACTCTGAAAATCCATGACTTCTGGGGCCTGGTTGAAAGATTTGTTCTCAAGACAGGCAGGAAGGGGGTGAATATAAAAAGATAGATGAAACAAGATTGAGGGATGGTACAGAGAGCAAATGGAGAGGATGTGTGCATATGTCCATGTTGTTGCTGAATGAAAACTTTTCAGCACCTAACACTAATATTAATACCTCAAATAAATCATTGCTTTCATATTTGAGAAATATTTTAATATACTTTTCTCTCCTTACCCTTATGAGATGTGCAGCTATTGCAAATTTCATTGGTATTTCATTTTTCCTGGATTTAGCTGTTGCTAAAATATTTTTTGGGGGGTTGATTGGTTGGTTGGTTGGTTGGCGCATTTTCTTCTTCTAAAATTAATTATTAATTAACCATTAGTTTTGGCAGAAAGACTACTTGTAATATACACCATAATACATCATCATATTTTTCATCATAATTAGTAAGAGTAATATGTAATCTGAATATTAAATCAGGAATGTATTTTACTTCATATCTCTAATATTTCACATATTTAAAATGATTACTTGGGCCAGGTTTTACAGAGATAGATTTTTATTTATTTATTTATTTATTAATTTCAATAGCATATTTCTGAGATTGTTCTTATTTTTAGCTGTCCAGCTCAGAAGGTTTACCCGTAGGTGACAT